GGCTTTTACATAACAGCGAGACACATTCCTGGAGAGAAGAAACCTATTAGCGATAAGCTCTCACGCCTACATCTTAGATCTAATATGCAGTGGTTGTATGAATATTTTAGTGGCTGGCCCTCTCATCATATGTCTGCAAATACTTCAGCTTTTTCACATGCTCAGTGAACTCAGACCTGGCGCAGCTCGACCTGGAGGCCGCCAGATACAAGCAGTCAGCATGTGCCGAGACCACCAAGAAAACCTACTCGACCATGTTGAAGTGGTACTTGGGATTCTGCTTGTACTACGGACTCACCCCAGTCCCAGCAAGTAGGCTCCCGGTCTCCCGGTACTGTGCATTTCTAGCAAGGTCTGTAAGTTCTACCAGTATCCCAGGATACCTCAATATAGTCAGGCTTATCCATCTCGAAGCAGGCGCCAACACCCCTGTGTTGGACTGGTCGTCACTATGCTTAAAAGGGAGATCCAGCGGGTAAAGGGACAACCACCTATGGGGAAACTACCAAGAGCTCCCTCCATTCTCACCGCTATTTAAGACAAGTTAGACCTTAGCATCCCATTTAATTCGCTTTTTGGAGCGCATGTACAAGATCATTTTTCACTTTCTTCAGTAAATCAACAAACCACTTTGTGTCTCGCCAAGTTCCCTACTTTGTCCGGTGTCGGCGCTTTGTGCTCTCCAGAAGTTACAGACAGGTACACTGGCCGATCACCACCTGTTCTCCTATAGAGTCAACGACCAAATTCAGTGCTTAACGAACGATAGCTTCATAAAAGCTCTCAAGTGTGTGCTCGTCTCTTGTGGCTATGACCCAAAGTCATACAGTGGTCATTCTTTCAGGCGGGTAGGATGTACATTCGCCTTCCACAATGCCTCCAGTGTTGATTAAATTACATGGACACTGGAAGTCTAACGCCTTCGAACGCTACATCTACATCAAAAGTGACATTCATAGAAAGTTCCCCCGTGCTATCGTTCTGGCAGCATCAGAAATATCTAAATCAAACAGTGTCGGGGATTTGGAGGTTTCATGGTGTTTTAATGTAACATGTCACGATTTACCTGTCAATTGAAATTGACCTCACCCCCAACACTTGCCTTTTCATTTAACCAGTGTTAAGTACTAAATAAATAGAGGATATTATATGAGTGCCCATGTCATACTATGTTTACGACACGAATGCCTAAATGTTGGTATTACCGATATTTAGGCACGAGCGTCGTAAACATAGTATGACATGGGCACGAATATAATATTCTGTTTATTACCAAAGTCGTCAAATTAAGGAAAATAACCCAACTTTACTTTCAGACATAGGTGAGGTGAGGTGAAATTGGGTTTAACGTCGTGCTTGAGAATATTTCGCTCATATGACGACGTGCATGCGTGTGTATGTGTATGTGCGGCTGCTTGTACTAGCCCAGACGTAAGCTGGTTTTATAGTGCTAGCACACTGAGATACCATGCCGCAGTGAAGCATGAATAACTCACTCAGACACATTATACTGACTCCGAGCCGACCAGTCCTTGTTGTACCCATTAATGCCGAGCGCCAGGCAGGGACCAACAAGTACCATATTTTCACGTCTTTTGGTATGACGCGGTCGGGGATCGAACCCCCGACCTTCCGCTCTCCGGGCGGACGCTCTAACCACTACACCACGGAGGCGGTTCAAACATAGGCTGTCCACCGCATTAAGAACGCAACGTCACAGAAGAAACGTGACGTCATAGCATTGTTCATGACGTCACGTCACAATGACAAAGTGATATTTTGCCCTAGGGCATCGCATGAAAAATATTAACCCCGATATGTTCACCCTCGTAGGTAATAAATATATTTATTTGGATTTAACTCGGTAATCACCGGCGGTGCCCGGACCTGCCGAACAATGCTTGGGATGCATGCCCTGCGCAGGTTCTTTTAGTCAGGTGTCAGTCCCTCACTTGCAAGCTGAGCGTACGGACGTGCAAGCTGAACGTACGCACGCACCCACTCTCCATTCCAGTGTTTTTAAAAAAATCTTATCTTAATTGTAACTTTTACTTGTTTTTTTCCATTATATATTTTACGGAGGATTCATGATGTTTTAATGTAACATGTCACGTTTTAACAGTCAATTAATACTGATCTCAGCCCCAACACTTGTCTTCTCATTCAACCAGTGTTAAAAAATATATATACTACCCAATTTTGAAGTTCAGAACATCTAACCATAAATTACCAATTGTGACTGGCCGATAGTTGGGCATTCCACGTAAAGACCGACAATTTCCACTTTGTGTATCAAACGCTGTTGGAGATTAGTTTCACTACTTGTTTAGATGTGAAGCTTTTTTCAAACTGCGACATCAGTCTCTGAACACTAAATACCTAGAATTTCCAAATTTGTAAATCTTTAAGAAACTCTTGTCTACTACCAGCATAAGCGACCTTAAAGGCCTTTCTAAATTGCTGAATCATATATTTAATGCATTTAAAAAATATAATATTGTTGTTATCTTATATCTTGCTGTCGTGTAAGCTGCTGTTTTGTATATTATGTAAATGTATATACGTTTATCTCATGTACCGCCGTTGGCGGTTTCTAGAGAATACAGAGTTTAAGTTTGAGTGAGTGAGAATGACCCGAGTATACAATGTGAGATTAAGCTGCCCATGGTTTACAAATAACAATGGTGCTGTTGTTATAAGGGTTTTAATCATTCATTTTAAATAATTGAGATGAATAAAATGTTGAACTAGTTGTTCTAGCTTCCTTATGTACATAGTGAGTAGACAGATTTTTCAAATCGTAATAATATCGGTTGTAATAGTGTTGGAGATAGTAAACTGAGATCAATAATTTCAGGTAATTTGGGGTAGTATATATGAGGGGCGTTAAAAAAGTAGTCCATTGTTATCATCCATTAAAACCATTCTCTCAAACTCTTAGTTTGGTTATTGCTCACAAAAATCATTCTGAACAGAATGGTTGCTCTCTAAATCCTTACCTACAACACTGACATGGTATATAAACTGAGTTTAGTTATCTGTACCATTGATGTAATGGCTGGTTTACAGAATGTTGAGTTTGTCACTTCCCAAGCTGGATGTCAGCAAGTCCTGTATGAAGGGTTCAGGTATCGCCTGAACAACCGCAGACAGACTGTGACTCACTGGAAGTGTGTCTTTGCCAACTGCCGTGGAAAGATAAGCATTGTTCATGAGGTTTTTCCGAAACTCATCGCCACATAACCTTGGCGTTATAGAAGATCCGAGTACTCTATTCAACAGATCTTCGAAGATGAGATGAGAACCTTGACCGTCGATGAAGCTGCCACAACACCCTCCTTTGCTAGCATTGATGCTGGTCTCTACCGATACCGCCGAATTAAATTACATTTGTGACGTCATTCCATTGTCTGTTCGCTCCATTACTTTTCAGGAATGGAGCGACATGTACCAGTTTCAAAATAACACCTTCATTTTGTCATTTTGACCTTTATTTTTGATAACAGAAATATTCCCAATACTTCGAATGTAATTTAAGTAGGGTAATATCCTCGTAACTCTCCATTCTTTAAAAATAATGTGCCTCGGCCCCTCCGGGGCCTCGGCTCCATTATTTTTAAGGAATGGAGAGTTACTCGGACATTACCCTCTACATAATCCACTTCCGCAGACCCTGGCTGATGTGTGCATAGAAGACCAGTGGGTATAGAACACCATAGACGATGCTGTCGACGACAGAATCCTGGTGTTCTCCACAGAAGACATGATGGAGACTATGCAGAGTGCCGACACCCTATTCATGGATGGTACATTCTATTCCTGCCCCCCTTTGGAACCAGCTGTATGCTGTTCACTATTTCACTGGTTCCACCTTGTTCCCTAATGCATAATAGACAAAGACTGACCTACACCAGGCTGTTCCAGCAACTGAAGAATGTTGTCCATACTGTAACAGGTGCCGATCTAGATCCATCTACCATCCAGACCGACTTTGAGCTTCCTGCCATTCAAGCACTCGAGACTGTCTTCTTCTGTCCCAACTCTCATCTACGAGAATGTCTCTTTCACTATAGTCAGTGTGTCCTGCGCAAGATCCAAACCATAGGTTTGGTTCGACAGTACAGAGAGGATCCTGCTGTCTAAACTGTAGTCCGAAGAGCTGCCTGTTTGCCACTGATCCCTCTAGATCGGGTTCAGGATGCCTGGATTGAAACCCTCGACGAGAGACCCGACATCCCCCTTGTACACGACTTCTGAGACTACGGCACGAGTACCTGGGTGGATGATGATGCCTTGTTTCACAGGTCCATGTGGAATCAATTTGATAACGCCGAACCACGCACCAACAATCACCTAGAGGGCTGGCACTCTAGACTGAACAGGTCCCTTGGCAAGTCCCACCCAAACCTGTTCGAGTTTATCAGCAAGTTGAAGGACATTGAATCAACAGACAGAAAGAAGAAAATCCAGCTGGAACATGGTGGTAAACCGAATGGCAGAAAACGAGTATATGGGGAACTTGATTCTCGTTTGCAGAGACTCAAGGAAGCCCTTCATCAAGGTCGAAGGACAAAGCTTCAGCTTTAAGATGCCTCTGGTCATCTCTTGAAATTGAAATTGTAGATTGATGATGATGATGATAATGATGGTGATGGTGATGATGATGATGACTGTAATGATGTCATTACAATAATTGTATACATGTCTGGTAATAATGGTATACACGTCGGGTATAAAATGTCTATATTTTATATTTATCATGTTATCTACTATAAATGAAATATGAATACAATGAATATTGTGTTATGTTATTGTCATGGGCAAGTTCATTTCTAAATTAGGAGTGGCCTGATTTTTCTCATTCTGCCTACACTTTTATTATGTCTGTAGGCAAAATCAGATGTAGGCAGAATGAGAGTAAACCGAACAGCGCACCTGACATTTACAAATGAGCCACAACACAAAAAAAGGGGGTAACAAACATATTCACACCTTCATACCTGAGAATGGATTTGTCGGAGTTCCTGCATCGTTGTATTAGGATTCGGATGACGTTGTACACGACGTTCCATTTCACCCCAGGCGTGTTCAGTGGGTTGCAAATGAGGTGATATGGTCATGGAAACAAAATTAACTATGACACCTGACTCTTCTCCTCTCACGGATTCCCCATCACAAGTGTTTTCTGCTTCACTGGCGACGCTGACGTCGATGTCCTAGCGTCAGGATTGACAGTCGGGTTGGACGTCTTACACGAATACCGTAGACGGCCTTGACGTGGGATCCTTAACGGCTGAAAACGTCGCCGCGAGCGCCAACTGATGTTTCTGTGGACGTTGAGTTAACGAGAACGTCACGCTTCGAGGTACCAGACAGAAGCTCTCAATGTGTCATTATAGTCTTAAGATTGGGTTGAGTGGTAATGATAAGCATCTGTTTGTTTGGCCTTTTAAAGTGAAAAGTCATTTACTCTGGCGTATGTCACGCTTCTTGCAAATATCGTGGAATTCGAACAACTTCTGGGTTGCGTATCTTTGGCCTAATTTTATGAAAAGTATTGACAAGCCAGCCCTGTTCTGATGGAGAAAGGCCATGGTATTGTAAATCCGTCCCACCAGAACAGCGACATTGAAATATCCTTTTTGTTAGCAGTATATGTTTATATTTACATTTAGATACAATAGGAGACTTGTGATTGGTTAATAGCCAATGCAAATAGAACCTTCTCATGACTGATATTAATCCATCTGACCGTGAAGATCCGGGTTAGAACTGATCTTCACTAACCCATGATAGTCGTCGCCTCTTTCAGGCTCGCTGACTTGGTCGACACATGTTATTGTATCTCAATTTTGTAGATTGATGCTCGTGATGTTGATCACTGGATTGTCTGGTCCAGGGTCGATTATTTACAGACCGCTGCCATATAGCTGAAATATTGCTGAATGGGGCATAAAACTAAACGCACTCACTCACTATAAATCCATCTTATCCTGTTCCATCGGGGAGTACGGACGACTTTGGCAGTTTGCAATCTTTGACACTGAAATCTAACTCACTTGGAGAATTTAGCTTTTGTTACCACGAAACGTTATTTTTATCACTTCTTTGGGGGATATGCTATGTATCATCTATGAAGTGGAAAAAGTTCAGACTACAAGATATCTCCTAAACTGTGGTATCATTTGAAATAACAAGTCCCTTAAACATAGGTTTATGCGTACAAGAGCTATGTCCCTTCGAATATCAATCAGTAATCTCGGCTGCGACAGTAATCACATTCTTCACCACTCGCCTCTTTCCATAACCGAAAAGAAGACTCGTCCCTCTATCCATGAATGTAATGTTTGAAAACACGACAAACCAATCAGAATGCGCTTTAACGTTAAGGGTTAAGGTACAAAAGCGCTTTGAGCATGCATGTAGATGGGATGGACAATAGCCCTATATAAAATAAACATATATATACTCTGAAAAAAAAAAGACTTAAATAAGTTATGGTATTATGTGATTGTTTGAAACATCCTGCAAAATGTGTAACATCATTTGACTTTTCAAATAACACAGTTAACAGCATTATGTTGCCTAATTTGAAGTTTTTAATAAAGACAGGGCCATGAACGCTGCGATACTCACGACACACACATGCGTTTGTTTACATAACAGTTTCATATTGAGTGTTTTCTCTGACATCGGTTAAAATATATTTTAAGTTCCCATGGTTTCGGATTTGTATGGTACAGTCAGGATGTTGGCGATCTTTCCGATTATACTTGCCCTTTAAGAATAGACTCGTTGATTGTGATAAGCATCGTATTCTTGGTAAAATAAGTGAATCTCTCCATCTCAGATATTTTAAAGAAGTTAAATCATTGACAAATGGTGAGTATTATGTTACTTTCATTGATCACATGGCAATTACAAGAAAGCCTAACATAGATTTTATACTGCATTTATAGAATTTAAGAAGGCGTTTGACTACAGGTGCCTGCCTGTCATCACCAACTGCATGTGATAAACTACAAGTGACGGCCTGGCATCACCACCAGCATGTGAAAAACTACAGGTGTCAGCCTGGCATCACCAACTACATGTGAAAAAGTACAGGGGTCGGCCTGGCATCACCAACCGCATGTGATCAACTACAAGTGCCGGTCTGGCATCACCAACCGCATGTGATCAACTACAAGTGCCGGTCTGGCATCACCAACCGCATGTGATCAACTACAGGTGTCGGTCTGGCATCACCAACTGCATGTGATAAAGTACAGGAGTCGGCCTGGCATCACCAACCGCATGTGATCAACTACAAGTGCCGGTCTGGCATCACCAACCGCATGTGATCAACTACAGGTGTCGGTCTGGCATCACCAACTGCATGTGACAAAGTACAGGGGTCGGCCTGGCATCACCAACCGCATGTGATCAACTACAAGTGCCGGTCTGGCATCACCAACCGCATGTGATCAACTACAAGTGTCGGTCTGGCATCACCAACCGCATGTGACCAACTACAGGTGTCGGTCTGGCATCACCAACCGCATGTGATAAAGTACAGGGGTCGGCCTGGCATCACCAACTGCATGTGATCAACTACAAGTGCCGGTCTGGCATCACCAACTGCATGTGATCAACTACAAGTGCCGGTCTGGCATCACCAACCGCATGTGATCAACTACAAGTGCCGGTCTGGCATCACCAACCGCATGTGATCAACTACAGGTGTCGGTCTGGCATCACCAACTGCATGTGATAAAGTACAGGGGTCGGCCTGGCATCACCAACCGCATGTGATCAACTACAAGTGCCGGTCTGGCATCACCAACCGCATGTGATCAACTACAGGTGTCGGTCTGGCATCACCAACTGCATGCGATAAAGTACAGGGGTCGGCCTGGCATCACCAACCGCATGTGATCAACTACAGGTGCCGGTCTGGCATCACCAACCGCATGTGATAAAGTACAGTGGTCGGCCTGGCATCACCAACCGCATGTGATCAACTACAGGTGCCGGTCTGGCATCACCAACTGCATGTGATAAAGTACAGGGGTCGGCCTGGCATCACCAACCGCATGTGATCAACTACAGGTGCCGGTCTGGCATCACCAACTGCATGTGATAAAGTACAGGGGTCGGCCTGGCATCACCAACTGCATGTGATATATTACAGTTGTCGGACTGGTATTACAACCTGCATGTGATAAAGTACAAGTGTACGTCGGCCTGGCATCACCAACTGCATGTGATAAAGTACAGGTTTCTGGTATCACTACCTGAATGTGATATATTACAGGTGTCGGCCTGGAATCACTACCTGCATGTGATAAACTGCAGGTGTCCACCTGACATCAGCAACTGCATGTGATAAAGTACACGGGTCGGCCAGGCATCACCAACTACATGTGATAAACTACAGGGGTCAACCTGGCATCACCAGCTGCATGTGATAAACTACAAGTGTCGGCCTGGCATCACCAACTGCATGAGTTAACCTGTAGGTGTCTCTCTGGCATCACCAACTGCTTGTGACAAACTACAAAATTACACCAATTACATGTGATATGCTACAGGGATCGGCCTGGCATCACCAACTGCATGTGATAAACTACAAAAGTTGGCCTGGCATCACCAACTGCATGTCATAAACTGCATGTGTCGACCTAGCATCACCTTCTTCATGTGATAATGTACAAGGGTCGGTCTGGCATCACCAAGTGCATGTGATAAAGTACAGGGGTCGGCCTGGCATCACCAACTTCATGTGATCTATTACAGGTGCCGGCCTGGCATTGCCAACTGCATGTGATAAACTACAGGTGTCGGCCTGGTATCACTACCCTCATGTGATAAACAGGAAGTGTGGGCCTGGCATCAACTACTGTATGTGATATACTACAGGTGTCCGTCTGGCATCACCAACTGCATGTGATATACTACCGGTGTCGGCGTGGTATTGCTACCTGCATGTGACAAAGTACAGGGGTCGGCCTGGCATCACCGATTCCATGTGATAAAGTACAAGTGTCGGGCTGGCATCACCACCTGCATGTGATAAACTACAAGTGTCGGTTTGCAATCACCAACCGCATGTGATATAGTACAGGTGTCGGCCTGGCATCACCACCAACATGTGATAAACTACAAGTGTCAGTCTGGCATCATCAACTGCATGTGATAATCGACTAGTGTCGCCCTGGCATCACCAACTGCGTGTGATAAACTACAGGTCTCTGCCTGGCATCTCCAATTGCATGTAATAAACTACAAGTGTCGGCCTGGTATCACAACTACATGTGATAAACTACAAGTGTCGGCCTGGCATCACCAATTGCATGTAATAAACTACAAGTGTCGGCCTGGCATCACCAACTGCGTGTGATAAACTACAGGTCTCTGCCTGGCATCTCCAATTGCATGTAATAAACTACAAGTGTCGGCCTGGTATCACAACTACATGTGATAAACTACAAGTGTCGGCCTGGCATCACCAACTGCATGTGATAAGCTACAGTTGTCCGCCTGGCATCACCAACTACATGTGAAAAACTACAGGTGTCGGCCTGGTATCACAACTGCATGTGATAAACTACAAGTGTCGGCCTGGCATCACCAACAGCATGTGATAAACTACAGGTGTCAGTCTGGCATCTCCAACTGCATGTGATAAACTACAGGTCTCTGCCTGGCATCACCAACAGCATGTGATAAACTACAGGTCTCTGCCCGGCATCTCCAACTGCATGTGATATAGTACAGGTGTCGGCCTGGCATCACCAACTACATGTGATAAACTACAGCGGTCGACCCGGCATCACCAGCTGCATGTGATCAACTACAATTGTCGGCCTGGCATCACCAACTGAATGAGTTTTCCTGTAGGTGTCTCTCAGGCATCACTACCTGCATTTGTTAACCTGTAGGTGTGTCTCTGGCATCACTATCCGCATGTTTTAACCTAAGTGCGGGTTTCTCTCTCACAGCAACATGTGGTAGCTTGTAGTCGTCGGCCTGTCTGTACTCCCTGCATGTGTTAATCTGTAGGTGTCGGCAAGACCATACACATTGGCTGTAGTCTCTGTATGTGGTAACCTACAGGTGTCGGCTGGTCCGTTCTCTCTGCATCTGTTAACCTGCAGTTGTCCACCAGACCGTACTCTCTGCATCTGTTTACCTGTAGGTGTCGGCCCGGCTGTACTTCCTGCATGTCTTAACTTGCTCTGTTGTCGGATTAACCGTACTATCTGCATGTGTTAACCTGTAGGTGTCTCTCTGGCATCACTACCTGCATGTGTTAATCTATAGGTGTCTCTCTGGCATCGCTACCTGCATGTGTTAACCTGTAGGTGTCTCTCTGGCATCGCTACCTGCATGTGTTAACCTGTAGGTGTCTCTCTGGCATCGCTACCTGCATGTGTTAACCTGTAGGTGCTCTCTGGCATCGCTACCTGCATGTGTTAACCTGTAGTTGTCTCTCTGCATGACTACCTGCATGTGTTAACCGGTAGGTGTCTCTCTGCATCACTGCCTGCATGTGTTAACCTGTAGGCGTCTCTCTGGCATCACTACCTGCATGTGTTAACCTGTAAGTGTCTCCCTGGTATCACTACCTGCATGTGTTAACCTGTAGGTGTCTCTCTGCATCGCTGCCTGCATGTGTTAACCTGTAAGTGTCTCTCTGCATGACTACCTGCATGTGTTAACCTTTAGGTGTCTCTCTGCATCACTACCTGCATGTGTTAACCTGTAAGTGTCTCTCTGGCATCGCTACCTGCATGTGTTAACCTGTAGGTGTCTCTCTGGCATCGCTACCTGCATGTGTTAACCTGTAGGTGCTCTCTGGCATCGCTACCTGCATGTGTTAACCTGTAGTTGTCTCTCTGCATGACTACCTGCATGTGTTAACCGGTAGGTGTCTCTCTGCATCACTGCCTGCATGTGTTAACCTGTAGGCGTCTCTCTGGCATCACTACCTGCATGTGTTAACCTGTAAGTGTCTCCCTGGTATCACTACCTGCATGTGTTAACCTGTAGGTGTCTCTCTGCATCGCTGCCTGCATGTGTTAACCTGTAAGTGTCTCTCTGCATGACTACCTGCATGTGTTAACCTTTAGGTGTCTCTCTGCATCACTACCTGCATGTGTTAACCTGTAAGTGTCTCTCTGGCATCGCTACCTGCATGTGTTAACCTGTAGGTGTCTCTCTGCATGACTACCTGCATGTGTTAACCTGTATGTGTCTCTCTGCATCACTACCTGCATGTGTTAACCTGTAAGTGTCTCCCTGGTATCACTACCTGCATGTGTTAACCTGTAGGCGTGTCTCTGCATCGCTGCCTGCATGTGTTAACCTGTAAGTGTCTCTCTGCATCACTACCTGCATGTGTTAACCTTTAGGTGTCTCTCTGCATGACTACCTGCATGTGTTAACCTGTAGGTGTCTCTCTGGCATCGCCACCTGCATGTGTTAATCTATAGGTGTCTCTCTGCCATCGCTACCTGCATGTGTAAGTGTAAACCTGTGGGTAAGTAGCTAGGAAGGTAGGTAGCGGAGGGTAGGTAGTTAGGTAGGGAGTCAGGGATTAGAGAGAGTGGTAAGTAGGGAGGTAGTTAGGGAGGTAGGTAGGGAGGTAGGTAGGTAGGTAGGTGGGGAGGTAAGTGGGTAGGGAGGAAGGGAGGTAAGTGGGTAGGTAGGTAGGTAGGGAGGGAGGGAGGGTGTCGTACCTGGAAGTAGACATTTGTTATTACAGTAAAAATCCTTTGATGTTCGGCCGAGGTAGATACAGGTTGTTTTAAAGGATTAATGAGATGGGTGACACTAAAACTTGAACTGGTGAGTGAACTCGGAGTTCACTAATTAGTGATATGAACTCACTAGTTCTAACTATGAACATAGTTGCTGATATGAACTCACTAGTTAAATGACAAATAACACAATTATGATTATTTGATTGATATCAACTCACAAATTAACTATATTATTTAAGAAAATTTAGATTGATTGATATAAACTCACACTGGGTATATATCATGGTAATTCCACCAAGAATCTATCACTGTCAAAATGGCAAACCAGCAGTTAGACTATAAGTTTCTCCCGACTTCACGTGGTGGACGTTATCTAGTTGTTGAAGGCTTTGTGTTTCGATTGAATCGAAGACGCAACGATGCTTCATGGGCATCTTGGAGATGCCAGGAGAAGACATGTGCTGCGACTGTCTCTACTGTGAACGACATCATCACCAAGCATCCCAGCCCACATAACCATGGACCTGTCCATAATGAGATAAAGGTATGTTGTGCGTAAATGTATCTATAAATTATAATATTAAAATGGTATAAAGCTCTGCTACATTTGTTCATTATTTGCACAATTTTAGACAAATGTGCTCGAAAAGCACTTCATTAGATTTATGCAGCCATAACATTACATTAATTTTGGTTATATCTTATTTACAGGTCAGAGAGACACTGGACAGGATGAAGATGGTGGCCAAGTCATCTCTGGGTCCGATACCGACGCTGTACAACGAGGTTCTGGCCTCAGTGAGCGATGGTCCTTGGACGGAAGAGAACAGGTCGTTCATCGCAGAAATGCCGACGTACGACACCGTCAAGAACAGACTGTACCAGGCCCGAAGATCCACCTTCCCACCCATCCCATCTTCCCGACGAGAAATCGTGATCCCAGACGAGTTCAAAACAACCAACGCTGGCGAGCCCTTTGTCATCATCAACGATGGCGACGACGATAAGATCCTTGGCATGACGACAACGGTGAACATGCAACATCTTTGTGCTGCCGAAGTTGTGTATAATAATTTATTCAATTAACTTATCATTATTTGTAAAACATGGTAAACGTATTCATTATTTCCACATTTTAATCATTCCTGATGGACTTCGAATCTGCAGCGAAGAATGCCGTCTCCGTCAACTTCCCGACGACGCTGTGGAGGGGGTGTCTATTCCACTACACACAGTGTGTGTGGAAGAAGACACAAGGGGTTGGCCTTCAGGGCGACTACAACCACGACGAAGACATCACCCGCTTCGTAAGGCGTGCTGCTGTACTGCCTTTGAAGCAAGAACTCCGAGATGGTGCCATGAGTGTCATGGTTTACGCTGATGCCGTGTCGCATCTAATGAAGTTACAGTGAACTGACATTTAGTGTGTGACTTTGAAGTGTGATGCAGTAGACCTAGTGCTAAGTACTGAATGCAATGTTAATCATGCTTTGTGTATATTATTATTTAATTTATGTATGTAATATTAATGTAAATGAACTAATAAAATAAAATAGTGATACCTGATACTTGTACATGACAGTGTTGACAATATCATTTTTGTGATATTTGTGTATATTTATTGAACTTTATTGTATACATATGACTTATGAAATAAAAGTAAGAACGAAACTATGCTATGTATTTTGTTTTTACCTTGGGAATGGTTTGTGGATGTATTCCATCTATTTACCAGTTAACATTTTTGTATGACCCATGTGGTTGAAATAACATAGAACCTCCATTGTTCTCTGGAGGCAGTGGACTTGAAAATCCTTACATGCTCCACTGGTTTGTTGTTTTAAACATCACAAATGTCTACTTCCAGGTATGTAACCGGAGGGGGGTTGTCTACAAAATCAATTGTGACTGTGACGAGGCCTATGTAGGCGAAACCTCACGGCCCATAAATATCAGAGTCAAAGAACACTTATCATCTACCACTAAATCAACATGTCACAACATAATTTGGGACAATGTAGAGATATTATCGAAAAACCACCAGGACTTCACCAAAAGAAAACTTGCAGAAGCAGTTCAAATCCGGAGGCACAAGCCCTCGATCAACAGAGACCAGGGATATCTCATCCCGTCTGCATACAATGAACTGATAAAAACAACAGATTAGTGCACTCCAGCTATCATTGCTAATTAATCTCATCAGCCATGTATTTTGTTTTTGCCTCTAACACCATTGGCTTCCTCCTATTGTCACTACATTATTACCACCATGCATTGTTGTTAATCCCCTTGATTCATACCTACATGTTGTTATTATTTAATTCACGTATATAAGTCTGTTCTGGGCTGTAGTACTTCACTCTTGCTTGACAACGGTATAAGAATCCATATCGAAACGTCGCATCATATATAATAAAAGAAGCTGTTATCCATAAACAATCTTACTTTCTTATACAAATGACAATCATTTAATGTTTATAGGAACAAAAACTATTCATACCAGCAGCTTCCACATTTTCATGAGGATACGATTTGACCTGCAAAAACAATGCGTGCATTGGAAATTTATCAAGAGAAAAGCAATTCATTTCTTGTGTCTGTCTAATCTATACTGTATTAAGCATTGAAACGTATTTTATCAGACTTTGATCCTCGGCAAATATGGTTGATTATCACTTTGCAATTGATTCAATAGAGGACAGTGGTTTGCTGGGTGTAATAACTGGTTGAGAAAAGCTTCTCAAGCATCTGGAATAACGATTGTAATCTCACTCAGAAACAACTGTTACATGGATCATCCTACATCTTTACATCCTTACATCTTACATGTCATACTTTTACTCACATATTTCAGGTGAACTTATTTTTCCAGGAGATTTTGGGTATTTATGTTGATCTCAATTCATGAATGAGGTTTTATAACAAAGAAGAAAAGAAAGAAATTGTCATTCACAAACCACATAACATGCATAGTAAACAATGAATAATCAGATGAGATCTGCTTTATCAGCTGCCTCAGCTATGCCTAGTTTCCCCGAGGTTTTGTGAAAGCACGGAACCATTCATGGAATTCCATCCGGTTGACTGACTTGTTTGTGGGATCATATTTGTAAGCCAATGGTCCCCGTGGATCATAAAACACCACACCATTCACGGGTTTAACTAAGATATGAATAATGAACTGTCCCCCTGCTTCTGAATTGTGATTTCTAATGCCATCATTGCAACACGACTCTGTTAGTTTCGGGGGGCAGGGGATAAAACGAATGTCTCCTGTACGTTCAGTCAGTTGCTTTCCCACAAAGTCACACACAAGAACAGTCTCGCAAATCTCCTCCTTCAGTATATCCTTTAAATTACCTGCATGGTCCACACGAACAGGTTGAAGTAGGATTTCTTTGGACTCGTATCCATATTCCGTTTTAAAAACACATTCCTCTTTCACGCCATATAGAAATGAACCACCATTTTCGAGTTTGCTCAATGCACTTACGTACTCAGTAAGTTTAAGATTTTTAATGATGTAAGAAACTATTTCCTGATCTCCCTTCTTTTGGAGAAAGTGACTTTTCAGTTGAACTGACCTGTTTTCGTGTACACTCTTAATATTATGTACAGTATTTATTTCCGTAGGTACTCTGTTGGATGCTCCTTCGAATTCACCCCTTTTTCTGATAAATGTCCTTAGCGTCTCCGCAGGAATGTCAACAATGCAGTCGTCAAGTGTAATCTTTGTGTTAAAATCAGCTGTAGTCACGATAGAAGAGGCACTGACGTAAAGAGCTAGAAAGTCATGGAAATCACGAAGCTTCCGGTGGTCACTTAACTTGTCCTTCCGGTACACATTAGTAAAAAGATGACCATCATGAATCAAGTCGTGAAGCTTTGTATCCACAAACTCATCGAAAGCGCCAGTGAAAGAATCCCCGGGTGCCAAACCAACAAGATGAATCAGTATATATACAGAGTTGGAGTTTCTCAAAGCGGACACCTTCTCCAACAACTGGCGGATTTTACAATCTATTTTCTTCCTTTTCTTCTATTTGTTGTCTTCTCCTTGTCCTACTCCATAGAGGTATTTCACGTGGATCCCTATTGGCAGGATATTTAGAGGGGAAGACGCGTACTGTAAGAATTTAGTAACTGCCTTCTCACAACGTGGAATATGTTCACTGAAAGGGAAGTATAAACAGATTTGGACCAAACTACCAAACAATCCGTTTAGTTCCGTTTATGGTATTGTTGATAATTAATTCTCATAACAATGTCCATTACTTGACCTGACTGTCCTTAACACCTTTAAGTAAACTATGGTAAGTAGTAATATACTAAGCAGTTCCTAACCGATATGAAACTCAGATACAATGACATTTTCACATTTTCGCAAACTGAAAGGAAACATTTTTCTAAAATAAAAGGAAAAAAATTAACAAACTTTGCAAAACTTTCAACCCAACATCTCGTTGTTAGACACGCGATGTGAACGATCTGCTGAGGCTTAGGTGGCTTGGTGCAGGGTGTTGTATCACTGCATTCTTTCTTAACGTGAACAGATACAGGGATAAAACCTACTAGTGTTTTGGATTCTCTAGGATATATGACTCCTTGTTCTTTGACATAGACAGAAACAGATTCAAAGCCTCTTGGCGCGTTGCTTCCCCGTCTGATATATATGACATTATCACCCTGCACACACACTGTTACTTGTTTATAAGCTTTTGGTGAATGCCCGCCCTGTAGCACATAACGCACGTCCTCATCCTTGTGGTACACTGTTACACGTTCTGAGGTTGATAGTATTTCATCCCCACAGTAATCACATAGTAGCATGACATCTGGACAGTGCAGTATACACGTTAAACGTGTGTATGACGTTGCATACAAACAGACATTCAATGTACTACGTTCACGCTATTTATACTGGCGAATTCAACCAAGTATACACATCATGTGATATTCAGCCAATCACAGGACCGAGTAAATGATTGCTTATTGAACACTCACACTATAACTGTCTCCTACGACCGGTAATCGATCGCTAGGGACCTCTGTAATCCAGATTCCTACCGTGGCCAAATCGAACAATGCAATCTACTGCCTTCTCTGTCACCGACAAAATTATAATTTGCTTGTAGAGAAAATTTCAAAACCGTTTTGCGATATACACTTATCAGGATCGTAACAAATACCAACTTAAAGCTAAGACACCAAAGGCACAACAATTAGCTGTCATCAGAATGATCGAGTTCGAGTCTCAAAGTGGCCTACAATTTGAATTGTGCTAAGCTTGTACAATACTGATTTCGTGTTTCACCACAGTGTAAAGGCTTTAAATATGTGTGAGTGAGTGCGTGAATTTAGTTTTACGCCGCACTATTCGCAATATTCCAGATATATGGCGGATAAATATGTGTAGGTATAAATAATAAATGTAGCCTAATGCAAGTGAGAGCGGCAATAGTGACCTGGTAGTAATTTGATCAACGTGTGACACATATTTGTGTCAGAATCTTCGTAATATTTGGTGTTTCTCATCTCTGCCATCAACAAGCAAAAGAGGAATGAATGAACGAACTAATGAATATAGGAATAAATAAATTGCTTAAAAAGATTTTTAAATTTAGATCAATAGACAATAGTCTTTAAATTAATTCAAGAAGAAAAGCGAGGAAAACATTTTTTGAAAAAATATAAATTAAGACATATCAAGATTACCTGTTTGTCTATGTGCGTTGAAGTGGTCACTTATCACACGAGGGCATACATTCCCCAGCGTGGTTGGGGGAATCGAGGTGATGAAGGTTGTCATTTTTCACGTCGGAATGAAATTTCAGAGAATCACAGAATAGAATCCGGATGGTCTTACACCTCGTGTAAGTGTGTTGGAGTGTGCTGTAAAACAATTTTGACCACATTGTCGTTTGTTGAGGGCACACACCATTGCATTGAAATGAGATCCTATATGTGTGATTCACGGAGAAGAATTAGTCCCGAACAACATATGATTTCGAATAATTATTTAAAAATCTTACTTTCTCCACACACCTATGTATGACGTAATTAAATCTTCATTTAAGTATTATCAA